GGTGGGAGTGAATTTGAGGTGTTTACAGTTTCTGGTTGAGCCTTTCAGGGATCTCACTGATTGCAGCTGCCTGATGGTCTGTCTCTGTAACCCAGATGGTGATGACAAGCTGTCTGCTTGGCTGCAGATCTTTTATTGTTCCTTCACTGTCTTTGAAGCTGCAGTGATGGTCCTTCATAGCTCACATACCCTGTCCCTTTCCAGCAGGCACTATATTCTGGATGAGGTCTGATGCCCGATCAATGGAAAGGGATCACTGATTGAGAAAGTATTTGTTAGATCCCCAGAGTGGGAAGAGAGGCTTGTCATGACAATGTTGTACAAAAGTGATCCAATTTATTCTCTTGTATTGCATATTAAGGGATTGTCAAACGTCATGAAACAGAAGCCGTGCCCCTTTAATTAAAAGTGTAAGCTGAGCTCTGAATTCCCTGCTTTACTCTGCTGTAGAATTTGTGAAGTCTTGTGACTGAAGCTGTCTCACTTCTGTTAGTATAAACCCAAACTGGCCTCAGGATTAAAAAGCAAATGTTCAGCTGCCAGAACTGGATGTTCAAAGAATTCAATAAACCATTCATCATTTGTACAAACACAGTACAGATGGCACAATACCCAATTAAGACAAATTGTCACATTCTCACATTTAGGTCAACTTTTTCTTTACTCTAGAAACAAAACTTGGTTTTGAAACATTCGTCCTGCAGCCAGCCCCCTTTTAAATCCTTTTATTTGTTGCGTGAAATGAGAGCTCATGTTTAAAATTTATTCCATATTTCCGATTCTCTGAATACTGCACAATAAAATAGAATTACAGGATTGGAGTTCTCTTAAGTTACAATTAAAACTTTCCAGACAGCAAGCTGGTGCCTATATGTCCAAAGTACAGCATTTTGAATCTGACCCATAATCAACAGTGGAAGTTCTGTCTCTGTCTCCACAGATGGATTGTGTACAGGACGTGCTTATATTGTTAGTAAGAGTTTAGAGTTCCATTCTTTCATGCTCCCGTAAAGACGCAGTTTTCTTTAAAACAAAGTAAAAAACTTACCGATAAAGATCAAGTATTTTCTACTTCTGCAAAATGTGAAACCAAGAGTGCTGATGCCAACTCTGTTAGTAGCAGTTCTTGTCAGTGTGACTCTTTACAGACTCTCAGCCTCTGATTAGGCGGCAACACCACTCAGCGCAGTTCAAAGGGAATGAGAAAACTCTTAGTCACTGGCTCTGACTCCAAGAGGAAATGGTTGGTGCGTTCAGAGAGAAAACCAGGAACAGCAGGATGAGAGAAGACACAGAGAACGGCAACAGCATGAGTAAAAAGATTTTGGAACTGTGAACAGATTAAAGGGAAACCAATTCCCACAAACGCTTCTTCCTTTTCAAAGAATTATTGTTTCTGAGCCTAATAAATGTTGTACATCTCTATACTACTGTTACATAAACATTCAGTTCATTCCTGGAGCTGACAATCTTAAGCAACTTTCCAACATAGAGGGGCTGCTGCATTGTGGTCCTGTAAATAACGTTAAACCAATATCTTAGTTCCCATGTGAATGCTAAAGGCATTACATGAAGGTTATGAAGTCTAATCTTCATCACTCAATCAATACCAAGAAAAATTAGATTAACTGTTCACTCAAATCACGTTCCAAATTTCATCAGATATTAAGCAGCTCCAAAGGATGTGATAAGAAAGTACCCAACAGCAAGAAACCTGATAACAGGTCCCCACTCCACCAAAAACTATTTATTTCAGTGAATATATTGTTGTTCTATTTATTTCTGAATGTAAGTTAAAATAGTTATTCTAAATTTATATAGGATACAGGTAATTTGCAATAAGTGAATTACAATAAAGTATTGTGAGTGTGATGTCAGGCTATCTATCCTTCTATTTCCTGCGGTTTTTCTCCTCTTCTAAAGATGCAGATTTTTTTGAGCACCTCATCCAAGTCATTATTCTTTAAATGTGACCCAAAACAGTGAGTTTAACATAAAAAAAGGTGGTGGAAAACCTTAGCAGGTCTGGCAGCATCTGTGAAGAGACAGAGTCTAAGTTTTGAGTCCGATATGTGTTCTTCAGAACTGAAAAGAGGAGGAAATATGATTGGGTTTTATGTTGAGAAGGCTGCAAATGGTTCATTGTCACCATAGATGACCTAAAGAGGGTGCATGAACAATGAGGAAGATGCCTCTTGGGTAATGATTTCAATAAGTGAACATTTAAACCTGACTGATTGATCCGAAGGTCTGGAAAGTGAAAATCTAACTGGTAAGAGCTGAGAAATAATAAAAGCTGATTCAAATGGAATTGTGCACCAGCGTATGTATGGATGGTTTTACCAACAGCACAGTGCCATCCATGTCACAAACTAAGGCTATCCCTGGTTGGCAGGAGTTGCCATTGCCCCAATATCACCAGATAGGCCTGGGACATAGGAACGCCAGAGACCATTAGCCAGGATCCTCAGGGCCCCACAGCCCTTAGGTCTGGTGTGAGCTCACTGTGCTCAGTCAGAGTTTGGAGTACCAGCTGGCAGAAGCATCAATTACCATGATTTCTGTCCCTGGTCTTCCACCAACTGAATTAATCACTAGCAAGAAGCACCAAAAGAAAGTGAAAAAAAAGAGATGGTACAAAAGGGACCAACTGGCAATGCTGACATGTCCCAGACTGAATCTGCGCAAGGATGTGGGAAGGAACACAGAAGTGGCCAAGCATTACAGGGGATTAGTCATCAGTTTGAAAACTTAAATAAAGATGGGGCGGTGAGAACTAGCACTGACATTTCTGTATGCAGTATGTCGTGATCTCAGGAGCACTTGTGCTGATGAGCCCTGGCCTGTTGGCTGTCATAGGCCCTGCCTGTGTGTGTACAGGAGTTGGAACTCGTTGAAAAATGGGGGAGAAGCACATGGAACAGAGGGAAGTTTAGAGAATGAAGAAGATTAGAAATCAATGGTGTTATAGAACAAAAGGCAAAGGAAATGTATGGTTATAGAGAGGCAATAAAGCTGAGGTTTATAAGAGATATTATAAGAGAAAGGCCAGGTATGACAAAAAGCAAAAACATGACAGGGTTTAAGTCTGAATTTAAGATGTTGAATTCAACATTGAGGCCAAAGGGCTATAAAGTGCCTAATTGGAAAATGAGGTGCCGCTCCTCCAGCTTGTATTGCCCTTCACTGGCTGCATTGAAATTCTGAAGAAGAATTGAATTGGAATTGAATTATTATCTCTGTTTCTCTCTGCACAGGTAATACTTGTGGAGTTTCTCCAGCATTTTTATTTTGTTTTTATTTCAGATTCTTCTACATTTTCTACCTTTGTTTAAAATCTCCACTACCTGTACCATTTTGCTTTTATTTTGTTTAACAGGCTGCTCAGCTGTGGGGGCGTCACAACCCAACCGATGATTCCCACCAAACAACTATGAGCATACACTCCAATACCAGTCATGTGAAATCGTCCAGAGAGAGACTCTGGCTGATTTCTTACCCCCTTTCAGTACTAACGTCGATTTGAGAATGTCAAATGCTGCTCCACCTGATATCAACTAGCTTTGTATAGGTTGGACATTAAACCCAGAATCTTATATTTTGGATCCAGGGTTTTGGGGGACCTGTTTCCAGACTCCTGACTACGCAATGGGAGTTATTTTACCTTAATGCACTTTTTGGAAGCCTGGCTGGGTTTCAGTGTTGGTTTTACACCCCACCCAAGGTTATAATCAGACAGGATGTGAAATCAGTGCTCTATCCAATCCTGTCAGTTCCCCCGTTGGTGAAGATAAAATTACATCTATTGAGTCAGCTCCACTGTCTTATAGCAACTTGTTCTCAAATGAGTGATCTCATTTACCAGCAGGCTGCAAACCTATGATGCCCCCATAACCACAAAACAATGCTCACATTTACAATAGGTTAGTTAACTGCTGAAGCTGGGAGAGGGGAGTGTGCAGCAGGATCTGGGTGTCCTTGTGCACCAGTTGCTGAAGGTAAGCATGCAGGTGCAGCAGGCGGTAAAGAAGGTAAATGCTTTGTCGGCTTTCATTGCGAGAGATTTCGAATACAGGAGCAGGGATGTATTGTTGCAGTTGTACGGGGCCTTGGTGAGGCCACACCTGGAACATTGTGTGCAGTTTTGGTCTCCTTTTCTGAGAAAGGATGCTCTTGCTCTCGAGGAAGTGCAGCGAAGGTTGACCAGGCTGATTCCGGGGATGGCAGGACTGACGTACGAGGAGAGATTAACTAGGTTAGGATTGTTTTCCTTGGAGTTCAGATGAATGATGGGGGGATCTCATAGAGACTTATAAAATTCTAACGGGACTGGACAGGGTAGATTCGGGGAGGATGTTCCCGATGGTGGGTGTGTCCAGAGCCGGGGGTCACAGTCTGAGGATTCGGGGTAGGCCATTTAGGACGGAGATGAGGAGACATTTCTTTACCCAAATAGTGGTGAGCCTGTGGAATTCCTTACCACAGGAAGTAGTTGATGCCAAAACATTGAATGTGTTCAAGAGGCAGCTAGATATAGCACTTGGGGCAAATGGGATCAAAGGTTATGGGGAGAAAGCAGGATTAGGCTATTGAGTTGGACGATCAGCCAGGATCGTGATGAATAGTGGAGCATGCTCGAAGGGCCGAATGGCCTCCTCCTGCTCCCATCTTCTATGTTTCTATGTTTCTATGAAAGAATTTTAGCTGTACTTTGTGTTGCTTCCAAGAAAGGGTTCATGCCTAAGCTTAATGAAAATGTTCCCAGTGGGTTCTGTGATATTTAAAAATTGCATCAATCTCTCTGCAGGCAGAAGGCCAGTTGGCAATCATGATGTGTCCTTAAGTGATAGTTCCATCATCACAGCTTTGGTCTTCTTGAACACATAAAAACATCTTCACTTTTACAAGAAATACATAATTAGTGTTTTATTAAGATTTGTTCATGCAGTCTCCTAGATGCTGACATTAGCAGAGTAAGATGAACAGTAGCTACAGGTCTGGATTGAAATGGTGGGTTATCTCTATGGTCTGACACATTCAATCGGGTCATCAGAGTCTGGGAAAAGGTTACAGTTGAAAGGCCACATTATGTCCAGAGACTCGAGTGAATGTTGACACTGTTTCTCAGCAGATTGGCAGAGGGACTGGCAGGGTGGCACTACTCCACCATCCCTTATACATTTAGGCACAAAGATGCTGCAGGTCAATAGGCGGAGATTCTCATAGCAAACCAACTCAGTCAGAAGCTGTCAGAATGAAAAGATAAAGTGTTAGTCTTGGAACATCCAAAGGATTAGAACTGGTCAAAATTCTTAGCATTTGAACTTTGTTAGACCAAATCAAACAGCCAATCATTCAACAGAAAATTGAAAAGAGTGGAAATAATTCTTGTTAAAGGGACAATCGATAACAGACTCCATTAAAAAAAAGTAGCATGACCAATGACATTTGGCTCATTAAGAAAAAAATTAATAAATGTTTGATTGGGACTAGGATCTCACCATTTCTGCAAACCCAGGATGATTCAAGTCCATAACACAGACATAATTCATTAAAACTATGCACCCTAGTATTATCCCACCTTCCTGCTCTGATTTATTGTTTATTAGGACCTCAAAACTGTGAAACTCCCCAGGACCTTGAGTTTTCTTTCCTACTCAGAATCTAGAACACAAACTTATCATTATCTAATACTCGGTTCATCTTATCTGTTCTTTCAAACCTTGAATTTACCCTGAGTTATGGGCCTTATCCTGCATTTCATAAGAGACATGATGTTGCAGTACTACTGAGTCTGAGTTGCTTCCCTGCACCAAAAGAGGGGCTTGCTTTCATTGAAGGAGGGATTTACCTGTAATGGGGAAGAGATAGGTATTGAAGTGTAGCAGTCCAGTGTGCAACAGTTTATGTGTGAAGATGCAGAAGTGTTTTGAAGATTTGTTTAACTGCCATTCGGTAGTGAGGAATATTTATGCAAATTTTTCTACAGAAGAATAAATGATTGGAGAGAAGACTGGGGAATCCACTGCACATTGAAAATGTGAGCTATTTGAACATAATACTCTTTCCTTACTGAATTTTAGCATATCACTGAGTCTGTAACTATGATAGAACATAAATCCCTCACAGCTCATTGCTCACTGTGCAATTTAATTTCTGGGATATTTATTGAATTATTTCTTCTTGCTGTATTTCTCCTACAGATGGAAGAGAATGTGGGGAAATGTGAGGTCATGCTCCTTGGCAGGAAGAATTTGGCAGAATAGAGGAGCTGAATATTATTTAAATAGAGAAAGACTGCAAAAAAACTACACAACAGGTATTTGGGAGTCATTGTCCTTGAATCAAAAAATGCTAGAATCTAATTTCAGCAGGCAATAGGGAAGGCAAATGGAATATTAGCTTTTATTTCAATGGGAATAGAGTATAAAAGTAGGGAGGTTCTGCTAAAACTACACAGGGCAATGGATCAGACCAATGGCATGGTGGCTCAGTGGTTGGCTGGGAGATTGTCTGTGTGGAGTTTGCAAATTCTCCCCGTGTCTGCATGGGTTTCCTCGGGTGCTCTGTTTTCCTCCCACAGTCCAAAGATGTGCAGGTTAAGTGGATTGGCCATGCTAAATTGTCCATAGTGTCCAGGGATGTACAAGCTAGGTGGATTAGCCATGGGAAATGCAGTGTCTCATGGATAGGGTGGGTCTGGGTGGGATGCTCTTTGGAGGGTCAGTGTGTACTTGACAGGCTGAATGGCTTGCTTCCATACTGTAGGGATTCTATGATATGATTCCTCACAGCTGGAATACTGTGAACACTTTTGGGCCCCTTATCCAAAGAAAGGTATGCTGGCATTGGAGGTAGTCTGGACAAGGTTCACTAGGCTGATACCAGGTATGAAGGGACTGTCTTATGAGGACAGGTTGAGCAGATGAGGCCTGTACTCATCAGAATCCAGAAGAATGAGAGGTGATCTTATTGAAACAAGGAAAATTCTTAGAGGACCTGACCGGTAAATACGGAAAGTCTACCAGACAGCATTATTTCAGGATAAGGGGTTGCTCATTTAGGATGGAAATGAGGAGGAATTTCTTCTCTCAGAGGGGAGTGAATCTGTGGAATTCTTTAGCACAGAGGGCTGTTGAGGTTGGATTGTTAGGTATATTAAAGGCTGAGGAAGACAGAGTTTTAATCAGTATGGGGTCAATGGTTATGACGAAAGGCAAAAAAGTAGAGTTGACGATTATCAGATCAGCCATGATCTCATTTAATGGCAGGGTAGACTTGATGGGCTGAATGGCCCACTTCTGCTCCTGTGTTTTATGGTCTTACAGACTGGAAGCCCCAGGGATGTTCTGCCTCTGTAAATACCTTATGCCATTTAGGACTAGCACAATTCTAGATGATTAATTCCAAGTGCATTTCAAAGTCAAAGTGTCAAAGCATGGAAACAGGCCCTTTGGCCCAACTTGTCCATGCCGACCAGATATCCTAAACTAATCTAGTCCCATTTGCCAGCTTTTGGCCCATATCCCTCTAAACCCTTCTTATTCTTATACCCATTCCAGATGCCTTTTAAATGTTGTAATTGTACCATCCTCCACCACTTCCTCTGGAAGCTCATTCCATACATGTACCACCCTCTGTGTGATAAAGTTACCTTTTAGGTCCCTTTTAAATCTTTGTCCTCTCACTTTAAACCTATGTCCTCTAGTTTCGGAAAAGACCTTGGCTATTCACCCTATCCATGCACCTCATGATTTTATAAACCTTTTATAAGGTCACCCTCAGTCTCCGACACTCCAGGGAAAACAGTCCCAGTCTGTTCAGCCTTTCCCTATAGTTCAAACCCTCCAACCCTGGCTCCAATGTGTTCTGGGAGATGTTATTAACAGAATACAGTTGAATTGGACTCAATTTCAAAACTAACTAATTAAAGAAATTTACAGAAGTTTACCCACTCCGATGAATAACTATGGGGGTGCTGGGGGTAGTTAAGTGTCACTACAGTAGTAATCTCAAACCCCAGACTAATGTTCTGGGACATGGTTCAAATCCCATCATGGCAGATGGTGTAACTTGAATTAATTGAAAATTTGAGACATGCAATCACTGCCGATTGTTGTAAAAACCTATCCATAATACCCTTTAGGGAAGGAAATCTGCTGTCTTCACCTGGCCTGATCTACATGTGGTTGACTTTTAATTACCCTCTGGGTAATTCAGGATGGGCAAACAGCGCTGGAAACAAGGCACACATCTTGTTAACAAATTTTTAAAAAGAGAACAATACTCCACATTCGAACAGTGGTATTGCACGCTGAGAATTCTGTACCAGTGGCAAACTACGATATGCCCAGCCAGGATTGCAATAGCTGAGTCCCTCACCTTGTAGTCCTTCAGGGTAGAAATAGCACTTCTCTGATCCGCAATTCCAAGCCAAATATTGGGGAACAAAGTCTCATTATAACTGAGGCCTTGACACATCTCCACCTCTATCTTCTGACAATCAGTTTCTGGGAAACAAAAACAAAATAGCCATTATATGCTTGAATAAATCACAGTTCCATGAGTGTGGGGCAGTTCCACAATCTTTATGTCTACCTTCCCCATCCCTCTGGTCCAGTGTATACATATAAAGTCATTGGACAGAAGGCTACCAAGGTCACCCTGTGCCCTGAGCTCAGTTTCTGGGGGTAAAGTTGAGTTTGAACTGGGAATATTATCACTGTGGAATAATCTTATGACACTGTCCAGTTCCAATCAAAAAGAATGACTCCTTAGGCTGAGTACGAGATGATAATGGGGATGTTAAATCACTCAAATCACAATGTCCCAATTTAAATCCTAAAAATGGACTCAGACTTCATTAGAAGAACAGAAGAAAAGAGAGAGGGCAATTTAGGGAGAGGGGTGAGAATGACATTATATCTTCAAGCAAAAGGAGTAGAAGATCAGCTTCACAAGTGTTAAAAAAAACTTTCAGAACGATGTGAATTTTGTTAGCAAAGGTACATTCATTAAAATACTGTCAGACTCCACTCCCTGAAAGATCCTGTGAGATTATCAACTCTAGGCCCAAGGTTTGAGCTTTGTTTGACCTGATGGAATGGATGTCCTTCACTTATTTTCTTTCAGGTTTGTCAGTAGTCTCACTCTACCTCTGTTTACAACATAAACCACCAGAATTCTTCACATATTTATCCACTAAAATACATCAATTAGTATCAAAGATACAGCTACCAAGTATTCATCTGGGGCTTCAAGTTACATAGGGAGACATTAAAAGGAAATAATACTGATTCATTGGAATGCAAATTAGATAGATTTTATTTCAATAATAATATTTTAGAATACGATATCTGAATAATTTGAGAATTAGCATACGGTGAGTGTAGCATGGCTTGGGCGAAATAAGTGAATTTGGATCGATGGATGAGGGTATTTGTCAGATAATGTTTAGGTCTGTTGTAGACTCACTGTTAGAGGTTGTTGGCTATGAGTAGGAATCAGAGTGGTTTGGTGCAGTAAGACAGGGTGGAATCACTGTGAGCTTGGTGAATAAGAAGTCAGGCTGGCAAGGGAGAAGGGTGCTTTTTTCTTTTTCTTCTTCTATATTTGTCAGTTTCCAAGGACCAGGAGTTAAAAAGCTGCACAATAGGGCTGGGTTTGAAAGAAAATTGGAGTGACATCAGAAGAGAATTGTAAACTCATTAATATCTAATCTTCAATTTATTGTTAATAGTACAAAAATAAACAGTTATATACAGAGCAGCTTAGACGTATGGAATGCCTATTCAGTAGCATTTGGGGAATGAAAAAGCTAAAGCTCCAGGTTTCAGAATTCAAGAGGTGGTTGGAGCCGACGCGGTGCATCCGTAAGGCTGAGTTACATTGTTAGCATTATTCAGAGAAGTGCTCACAGCACACGTTAGGGGCATGCAGGCAGAAAGGAACGTGCGAATGCTAGATAAATCCAAGAAAACCAGGCAGGAAGAGCAGGAGTCTCCAAAATCTCACTTAAGAATCGGTTTTCCATCCTGGATACTTGTGAAGGCAATGATTCCTCAGAGGATTGCAGCAATTCCATGAATGGTCCAGCTGTATCAGTGTGAAGGAAGAAACGTGGAAGAATTGTAGTGATAAGGGATTCAGTAGTTAAAGAACATAGAACATAGAACATAGAACATTACAGTGCAGTACAGGCCCTTTGGCCCTCGATGTTGCGCCGACCTGTGAAACCAATCTGAAGCCCATCTAACCTAAACTATTTCATTATCATCCATATGTTTATCCAATGACCATTTAAATGCCCTTAAAGTTGGCGAGTCTACTATTTTTGCAGGCAGGGCATTCCACGCCCTTACTACTCTCTGAGTAAAGAACCTACCTCTGACATCTGTCCTATATCTATCACCCCTCAATTTTAAGATATGTCCCCTCGTGCTAGCCATCACCATCCGAGGAAAAAGGCTCTCACTGTCTGTCCTATCTAATCCTCTGATCATCTTGTATGTCTCTATTAAGTCTAAAACAGCCTCAAGTCCCTCAACCTTTCCTCATAAGACCTTCCCTCCATACCAGGCAACATCCTGGTAAATCTCCTCTGCACCCTTTCCAATGCTTCCACATCCTTCCTATAATGCGGCGACCAGAACTGTACGCAATACTCCAAGTGCGGCCGCACCAGTGTTTTGTACAGCTGCAACATGACTTCATGGCTCCAAAACTCAATCCCTCTACCAATAAAACCTAACACACTGTACGCCTTCTTAACAACCCTATCAACCTGGGTGGCTGGAGGTCAGAAAATTGCAAGCATTGTGTCCTTGCTCAAAAAAAAGTTATAGGGAAATGGCTAGCAATCACAGAATTCACACTTGAATTTCTGTAATGGGAAACATCTAGAAGCAATAATTTGGGATAGAATTAATCGTCATATGGACAAATATCAGTTAATTAGGAAGAACCAGCAATAGATTCCTTAAGGGAAGATCATGTTTAACTAACTAGTTGGAGCTCTTTGAAAAGGTAACAGAGAAGTTCGACAAGGACTTCCAAAAAGCATTTGATATACTGTCATACAACAGCTTTGTGGAGAAGGGCTACATATCATGGAATAAATGGGACAGCGGCAACATGGATGCAAAATAGACTGTGTGATAGGAGACTGAGAGGAATGGTCAAAGGATATATTTCAAATTGGAGAGAGAGTCTCGCTCTAGAGTTCTCCAAGGGTCGGTATTGCTTTTACTGATTAATATTAATGATCTAGATCTTGCAATTTAGGTGAAAATTTCAGTTTATGGACACTACAAAACTTGGAAACATTGTAAATTGTGAAGAGCACAATGTAGAAATTCAAAAGGACATTGATATGTTAGTTAGGTGGATAGATAGTTGGGCAGATGTAGTACAAGGCAGAGAAGTATGAGCTGCTATGTTTTCATGGAAAGACAGTATCAAATAAAGGGTATTCTAAAGGGTATGCACGAGCAGTGAGACCTGAGTGTATATATACATAAGTCATTAAAAATTGTAGGTCAAGTAAAGAGAACAGCTAATAAAGCATATCCTAGCATGTATTAATAGTGTCATAGAGTACAAGAACTGGGAGTTACGCTGAAACTGTATAAGGCACTAGTTAGACCTCAGCTACAGTATTGTATTCTGGGCATCACACTTATATAGGACGTGGATGCGTTGGAGAGAATGCAGAAGAGATTTACAGAATGGTTCCAAGGATGAGAAACTTCAGTTAAGAAGATAGATTTGAGAATTTGGGAATATTTTCGTTCATGAGGAGAAGACTAAAAGGAGATTTGATTGAATTTTTCAAAATCATAAGAGGTGTGGACAAAGTAGACAGGGAGGAACTGTTCCTGCTCATGAAAGGATCAAAATAAGAGGATACAGATTTAAAGTGATTTACAAAGAAGTAAATGTGATTTGAGAAGAAACCTGCTCATGCAGCAAGTGGTTTGGGACAAAGAGAAACAGAAATTGCTGGAGAAACTCAGCAGGTCTGGCAGCATCTGTGGAGAAAGAAACAGAGTTAATGTTTCAAATCCTATGACCATTCTTCAGAACTAGAAGCAACTAGGAAAATGTACTATGTGAGCTGACGATGGGTTGGGGGAGAAAAGGAGTGAGAGGATAGATGGAGATAAGGCTCAAAAAGAGAGGGGAAAGGGCAGACAGTCAAAGGGACTGTTTATACTAGGCCAGAGAAGAAGAGAAGCCAGAAGATGATAATAGAGACTTTGTGTTGTTGAAAATGTGTTGGCTGTGCTTAAAGCAATCCATTTCATGACAGGATCAGGATAGAGAGTGCAAGTAATTGAACAAGGAAGGGGTGTTCAAGTTCTAAAATTGTTAAATTCAATGCTGAGTCCTGAAGGTGGTAAGGAACCCAGGCAGATGATGAGGTTTTGATCCTCCAACTTGTGCTGAGCTTCACTGAAGCATTGTAGCAATGCAAGTGGTTTGTGTCTGGAATATACTTCCTGGGTAAGGGGGATTAAGGCATTCAAGACAGCATTAGAAGGGGAAAGAGTGGGAAGGTAGCACAAAGGCATTCAAATAGTCATTGCAGACACAAAGAGCTGAATGGCCTTTTTTTGCACATAACAATTCTGCAATTGGCCACCAGACTGTCATACTATACACCTAACAAGATGTTTGATGATCAAATCAATAGATCTCAGTCTTTTTGTGTCCAGCAATTTCTATGTTCCTATAGATATATGTGTAACATGGTTCCATTGAGCCCCATTCACAGGTTCATACCATAAGAGAGATCAGCAACACCACTGCAGTTCATCTCATCACTCCCATCTGAGCAGTCATTCCAACCATCACACACCCACTGCATCGCTTCACACTGCCCATCTACACATCTGAATTCATGAGGGCTGCATGTTGCTGCGAGAGACAAAAGAGAGAAGAATAATTAGGGTGAATGATCTAACAGTATCTGACTTCCGTGAACTTCTAAAAGCACTGCATGCAATTTTTTTTCCCCAAATGTCACAAATAGAACAGAACGTGTAAAAGGGAGAAAAAATGTTGGAGTAACCACAGATCTGAGTAACAGCAAGTCACTAACCCTATCAAGGGATTAGGGTACATCAGAAAAGGGAAGTTGAATTTTCATTTTGAATTATTTGTCCACTGAATCCATGGACATTGGAGTCCAATCACCCAGTTAATACCAGAAGCCATCCAGTATATCCTAGATTGATTGCTTATGTGACACAGGTGTCCAGTTGCAGTACTAATATTTCTAATATTTCTTTCTAATATTTGCAAAAACTGAAGCAAGAGTCAGTATGGTCCATTGCTCACAACCACTAGTTGTCTGCCCAACCTTTAGGAAAATACTTTGGATGAGAAACATTATAGGATGCCTGAAGGCAGTGAAAACTGCTATATGATAGGAATATTTCTCCCCCTTTTAAATAATACTTTTACAATGTGGAAGATTAATGATGGAGAATGAATTACTTAAAAAACAAAGTCAAGAATTTAAATCTATAGTATAGAAATAAATATGTAGCACGGTAATGTTCAAATTATAAATAGAATGTTTTAATCATATTTTCCATTTGGAAGCAAAGCTGTGAAATGGCAGAGCATATAGTTTAAGCTTGTGATCCCTATCATAGTTCTTTGCTGATCTTCAATTGTACATGTAATTTACGAATCATAGAATGATTAAAGCATAGGAGACCATCATTTGGCCCATTAAGTCTGTACACTGGGGAACGTGCAACATTAAGTCTGGCCCATTAAACTGTCTGCAAGAGCAGTCACACAGTCCCAGTAAAAACCAAAACAACAGCACAGTGGCTCAGTGGTTAGCGCTGCTGCCTCACAGCGCCAGGGACCCGTGTTCGATTCCACCCTCAGGCAACTGTCTGTGTGGAGTTTGCACATTTTCCCTGTGTCTGCGTGGGTTTCCTCCAGTTTCCTCCCACAGTTAAGGATGTCGAGATTCTACAAATACATTAACGACAAAAGGGTAACTATGGAGAGAATAAAGATCCTTAAAGATCAGCAGGTTAGGTGGATTGGCCATGCTAAATTACCCATAATGTTCAGGGATGTGTAGATTAGGTGGGTTATAGGGGGATGGGTCTGGGTGGGATGCTCTGAGGGTCGGTGTGGACCTATTGGGCTGAAGGGCCTGTTTCCACACTGTAGGGATTCTATGAACTGCAGATGCTGTAAATCAGAAACAAAAACAGAAATTGCTGGAAAAGCTCAGGAAATCTGGCAGCATCTGTGAAGGAAAAAAATCAGCGTTAACATTAACATACTGCTTTCTGTCTCCTTGTAACCTCACAGTCAGAAGGCTTTATGAGTTAACAACAATTTGCAGTGTTTTAAACATAATCAGGTGAACGTTCTGAGGAAAGTCACCGGACCTGAAACATTAACACTGATTTTTTTTTCTTCACGGATGCTGCCAGATCTGCTGAGCTTTTCCAGTAACTTCTGCTTTTGTCACATAGTCCCAGGTCCACTGTAGTTCATAGCTTTATTGCCATAACAGTGTCTCACATATTGAAGATATTAATAATTAAAAAAAACACTTGCTCAAAATGATTAATGTACTAGGTGAGCAACCTAGGAGATTAGCCCATTTTAAATGATGGGTCAGTGAGGGAGAGGGCAAACCCTTTCATTCATTTATTCAGTTATACAGGAACACTGATGGTCCCAAGCAGAGCTCAACAACTCCTTCCTTCCTTAAGGACATCGTACAGCACAGAAAGAAACCGAAGCATAATCACCAAATTGAATTGGTAATACAAGTTTGTGAGGCCTGAGGGGACAGGTAAAGGGCTGAAATGTTTCTTACCCTCACTCCTGTTTATTGATTGGTAGGTGGCAACAAATCCCACGTCTGATTCTTCCTCATCAGCAACAAAAAGAACAAGCATCTCGTGTCGGGGGGATGTCAGAATCGGAGGGAGTGAGTGCCCACAGTATCTTTAAAAGGAAAGACGTGATTAAATTTAGTGCTTTTCACACCTGTTTTTGCCCACCTTGTCTTGTACTGCCTTCCGTCTCCTTGTAACCTCACAGTCTGAAGGATTTGAGATGTTTCACAAGTTAACAATTTGCAATGTTTTAAACATAATAAACAATCCTTGATGTTTCAGAGAGAAGCATTAAACAAAATTGGACACCAGAGAGATGACCAAATGATTGTTCACTGAGGTAGGGTTTAAGGATTGTCTTAAAAAAAGGAAAGTAAGGGAGAGAGTCAAAGAGAGAATTACAGAGATTAGAGCTGATTCAAGTAAAAGAATGGCCACCAATGGTAGAACAACTAAAATTGGGCCTGGTCAAGAAGCCAGATTTAGATGACTGCAGGTATCTTGGATGAGATTATGGAGGGGGGCAGTGTTGAGGCCAAGGGGGTATTTGATAACAAGGGTGAAAATTTTATAATCAAGTTGCTGCTTAACCTGAAATCGGTGTAGGTTCACAATTACATGAATGAAGGAAGAGAAGGATACATTGCATGTAAGGACTTAGAGATTTAGATCACCATGTGTTTAAGGAGGGTAGAACATAATGGCATACTAGTGATGGGACTCTGTGTCAGGTAGTTTAAGTCTGAGCCCCAGAAGTAAAAGATTATTATTTCATGTCGCCTTCCTTCATAGATCTGTTACATTGCACTGTGTCCTGTGGATATTTTATACATATTACCTGCCCATAAGGCTGCTGGGACTGCTGCTAAGCTGGTCATGTACCTCCACAAAGTCATATCGACAGTCAGCGGCAAGCTCCAGGCTAAAGTTGTGGAATAGCAACTGAATTACATGACCCTGAGGAACTGAGATGTGCCACACACACACCTACACAACAGAAAACAAGACATTGTGTGTAAAATTATACCATAAACAATGAGATTCCTTCACTGAAACAATTTTAGTTACTTCCATAAGGTAAGGTTTAAATAGACAGCTGGAAAAAGAGAAAACCAGGTAGCATGCTGAGATGGGTAATAAATGCTGGTCAGCCAACGACACCCACATCCCAGGAGTGAATAAAACAAAAATCAGCTACATGTGCTGTGGCTGTGTGATAGACACGTACAGATCTGGAGGGTCCCCAGAAAGAAAATCTTGCATTTATATAGCACCTCTCACAACCTTAGGACAAGCAAAGTGTTTAGAAGTAGTTTCATAGTGATGTAATGCGAGAAACATAGCAGCGATCTGAGTGCAGCAAGTTTCTCAAAACTCCAAATGAACAATGAAAATGTTATGATGATGTTACCTAAGGGATAAATTTTGGTCAAGACATCAAGGGAGCATTTTTTTTTTCGGATTGTGCCATTGAGATCTTTTACATTCAGCTCAGAGGATCAACAGGACCTTCGCTAAATGCTTAATTCAAAACACCACTCTTTAACATGTTAGTGCCAGCCTAGATAAATGACGTGGAGGTGCTGGTGTCGGACTGGGGTGGACAAGGTCAAAAATCACACAACACCAGGTTATAGTCCAACAGGGTCATTTGGAAACACAAGCTTTCAGAGTCTCGCTCCTTCTTCAGGTGCTCTTGAGAGAGGAAGCAAAAAGACACAGACTTTATAAGTAAAAGATCAAAGGGTCATACACTGATGCGAATTAAACAGACCTAAGATGCTGTTAAATCTATAAGCAGTTATAAAGGAGATGCAGATTTCAATTTGTTAATATGCAAACCCCTGAATTTTTGCCCAGAGATAAGTAAAGGTTTTAGCAAAGAAGAGGTGACATCTTGGATCAGACAATGCATGTGAGGCCCTGTTTAGAATCTGTTTGTGTTTTGACTTGGAGTCAGACTGGTTTTATTTCTAAAGTAGGAATTTGTAAAATGCCACATTGTTGGCAAATTGTGTGCTTTTTGAACAAAATAGATTGCACCTGCAAATATAAATCTGCAAATGCAAATTCTCTTCTGTGTGTGTGTATGTGTGTGTGTGTGTGCTCGTGCACGCATGTGCGAGAGTGTGTGTGCGAGAGAGTATGCTTGCATGCGTGTGTGTGTGCACTCACATGTGCGTGTATGTGTGAGTGTATAGTGTGGTGATCTGTAGTGCAACATGTACCCAAGATCCCGGTTCAGGCCATCTCCATGGGGACCAAACTTGGTTATCAGCCTCTCCTCTGGCGACTCTGCCTTGTTGTGTATCCCAAAATCCAACATGGTGGACATTTACCCAAAGCTCCGATGCTGAATGTCCTTGACCGCTGATGTGCTCCCCCACTGGGAGGGAACATCCCTGTTTGGCGATTGTTGCGCAGTGTCCAGTCACCCGTTGTTGTAGCGTCTGCATGATATCACCAATTCACCATGCCTCGGGGCATCCTTACCTGCAGCGTATGAGATAGACAACATTGGCCAAGTCACATGAGTATCTGCCGTGCATGTTGTGGGTGGTGTTCCCACGTGTGATGGTGGTGTCCATGTTGATGATCTGACATGTCTTACAGGGGTTGCCATGACAGGGCTGTATGGTGTTGTGGTCAATGTTGTCCTGAAGGCTGCTGGGTAGTTTGCTGCGAACAATGGTCTGTTTAAGGTTTGGCAGCTGTTTGAAGGCCAGAAGTGGAGCCATCGGGAAGATCTTGACGAGGTGCTCATTGTCATTGATAATGTGTTGAAGGCTGCAAAGAACATGACGTAGTTTCTCTGCTCCCGGAAAGTACTGGATGATGAAGGGTAACCCATCGGACGTATCCAGTATCCATTCTCCGAAGAGGTCAATAGGGTTTTTCGCTGTGGCACGTCAGAACAGGTGATCGATGTTGAGAATCGTATCCTGTTCCTATGAGGGCGTCCTTCAACACTTCCAGGTATCTGTCACATGCCCCCTCATCCAAACAGATCATGTGTATATACTCAGGGCTTGTCTGTAGGGGATGGCTGTTTTAATATGTTTTGGGTGGAAGCTAGAGGAGTGCAGCATCATGGGGTTATCCGTGGGCTTGCGGTAGAGTGAGGTACTGAGGTGCCTGTTCTTGATGAAGATGCATGTGTCCAAGAATGAGACTTTGAGGAATCCATCTTTGTGTTGTCTGCAGACTTGGACATATTACATTTAGAATCCTCATCAAATCATTGATTTATGTTACATAAAGCTGAGTAGCAAGCACTGACCTTTGCAGCACCCCACTGGTCACTGCCTACCACTTGGGGGTAAAAAAACATCTATTTTGATTTTTTGTTTCAGGTCAAGATGCAGATGAAGCAAGTGACTAAGAAAGAAAATGATATGCTGATGTTTGTAAGAGGGAGTTTTGAGTCTAGGAGTAAAAATGTCTTATTGCAATTATATAGATCCTTGGTGAGACCTGGAATATAGTTTGTAATTTACTCTCGTTACCTACGGATAGATATACCTGCCATTGAAGGAATGACTTGAAGATTAACCAAACTAATTCCTGGTATGGAGGGATGTCTTTTGATGAAAATTTACATAGATTGGACCTTTATTGTCTGGAATTTAGAAAATTAAGAGACGATTTCATTCAAACAAACTTCTTCCAGGCCTTCAGAGATAGTAGGAACTGCAGATGCTGGAGAATCTGAGACAACAAGGTGTAGAGCTGGATGAACACAGCAGGCCAAGCAGCATCAGAGGAGCAGGAAGGCTGACGTTTCGGGCCTAGACCCTTCTTCAGAAATGGGGGAGGGGAAGGGGGTTCTGAAATAAATAGGGAGAGAGGCGGAGGCAGATAGAAGATGGATAGAGAAGATAGGTGGAGAGGAGACAGACAGGTCAAAGAGGTGGGGATGGAGCCAGTAGAGGTGAGTGTAGGTGGGGGGGTAGGGAGGAGATAGGTCAGTCCAGGGAGGATGACCAGGTCAAGGGGGCAGGATGAGGTTAGTAGGTAGGAGATGGGGGTGGGGCTTGAGGTGGGAGGAGGGGATAGGTGGGAGGAAGTTCAGGTTAGGGAGGCGGGGACAAGCTGGGCTGGTTTTGGGATGCGGTAGGGGGAGGGGAGATTTTGAAGCTTGTGAAGTCTACATTGATACCATTGGGCTGCAGGGCTCCCAAGCGGAATATGAGGTGCTGTTCCTGCAACCTTCGGGTAGCATCGTTGTGGCACTGCAGGAGGCCCAGGATGGACATGTCGTCTGAGGAATGGGAGGGGGAGTTGAACTGGTTCGCGACTGGGAGGTGCAGTTGTTTAGTGTGAACCGAGCGTAGGTGTTCTGCAAAGCGTCCCCCAAGCCTCCGCTTGGTTTCCTCGATGTAGAGGAGGCCACAACAGGAACAGCGGAGGCAGTATACCACATTAGCAGATGTGCAGGTGAATCTGCTTGATGTGAAAAGTCTTCTTGGGGCCTGGGATGGGGGTGAGGGGGGAGGTGTAGGGGCAGGTGTAGCACTTCCTGCGGTTGCAGGAAAAAGTGCCGGGTGTGGTGGGGCTGGAGGGGCTGGAGGGGAGTGTGGAGCGGAAAGAGTGGTCCCTCCGGAAAGCAGATAAAGGTGTGGAGGGAAAAATGTCTTTGGTGGTGGGGTCGGATTGCAGATGGCGGAAGTGTCGGAGGATGATGCGTTGGATCTGGAGGTTGGTGGGTTGGTACGTGAGGACGAGGGGGATTCTGTTTTGGTTGTTATTGCGGGGAGGGGGTGTGAGGGATGAACTGCGGGAAATGCGGGAGACATGGTCGAGGGCGTTCTCAACCACTGAGGGGGGGGCGTTGCGGTCCTTGAAAAATGAGGACATCTGAGATGTACGGGAGTGGAATGCCTCATCCTGGGAGCAGATGTGGTGGAGGCGAAGGAATTGGGAATAGGGGATGGTATTTTTGCAGGAAGGTGGGTGGAAGGAGGTGTATTCTAGGTAGCTGTGGGAGTCAGTGGGCTTGAAATGGATATCGGTTTCTAGGTTGTTGCCAGAGATGGAGACAGAGAGGTCCAGGAAGGAGAGAGAGGTTTTGGAGATGGTCCAGGTGAACTTAAGGTTGGGGTGGAAGGTGTTGGTGAAGTGGATGAACTGTTCGAGCTCCTCGTGGGAGCACGAGGCGGCGCTGATACAGTCATCAATGTAACGGAGGAAGAGGTGGGGTTTAGGGCCAGTGTAGGTACGGAAGAGGGATTGTTCCATGTAACCTACAAAGAGGCAGGCATAGCTTGGGCCCATGCGGGTACCCATGGCCAACCCCTTTGTCTGTAGGAAGTGGGAGGAATTGAAAGAGAAGTTGTTGAGGGTGAGGACGAGTTTGGCTAAGCGGATGAGGGTGTCAATGGAGGGGGACTGGTCGGGCCTGCGGGACAGGAAGAAGTGGAGGACCTTTAGGCCATCTGTATGGGGAATGCAGGTGTATAGGGACTGGACGTCCATGGTAAAGATGAGGTGTTGGGGACCAGGGAATTGGAAGTTCTGGAGGAGGTGGAGGGTGTGGGTGATGTCACAGACGTAGGTAGGGAGTTTCTGGCCCGAGGGGGAGAAAATGGAGTCGAGATAGGTGGAGATAGGTTCGGTGGGGCAGGAGCAGGCGGAGACAATGGGTCGACCAGGGTAGTCAGGTTTGTGGATTTTGGGAAGGAGATAGAAGCGGGCAGTGCGAGGTTGGGGAACGATAAGGTTGGAGGCTGTGGGTGGGAGGTCACCTGAGGTGATGAGGTTGTGGATGGTTTGGGAGATGATGTTTTGGTGGTCGGGGATGGGGTCATGATCAAGGGGGCGGTAGGAGGAGGTGTCGGAGAGTTGGCGCCTGGCCTCGGCGATGTAGAGGTCAGTGCGCCATACTACAACTGCGCCTCCCTCGTCTGCGGGTTTTATGGTGAGGTTAGGATTGGAGCGGAAGGAGAGGGCTGCACGTTTTGTGGGGGAGAGGTTGGAGTGGGTGAGAG